GAAGGCTATAGCTTCAGGACTACACCATCAATCACATAACGAGGATGGTAAATGTGGCAGCAATGTGCTTAGGAGAGAAAGAAGACTGTGAGCTCAAAAAACATGGAAATAGCAAAACCCTTCAGTTGCCCCTGAATGGACTGGGCAAGTGCACAGAGGCGTGATCCCCATGTGCAGGCACCAGCAGTGAGGAGCTCCTCCCCAGAGGAGGTCAGCAGCTAGTGATTAAGGCTTCTCTCTGTCCTCCTGAGCCTCCTTAGCATCAGGAGCCCTGACCTGGGGTCTCCTGCATCCTCATCAAGATGCTCCTGTGTGCCTGGGGCCACCCCTGGCATGGAGGTCACCTGTCCAGGACTGTCCTGTGCCACACTACCAGGCCTTCTCCTCAGGGAAATGGCACACAACCTGCCTGATCACAACAGCCCAGGGCCCGAGCCAGCTGCTGTTGCTCTGTGCTTGGGAATCCCTGGGGAGAAGTTATCTAGCACAACCGAAACCTGCACCAGCTGGAGCTGTCATGCATTAGCAGTGCAGAGCCACGTTCCAGTGACCAAATTTTTTTCCATTTGATTTAATATAAAAATACAGCTTGCTGTCCCCAGAGAAATGCAGAATGCATGGAAATATCTGACAATAAATGAGACTTGGTAGAATAAAACTGCAAGCTTGAAACCTGGACTCTCGTGAGGGCTTCCCTATTGAAAGGTTTTCGTTCCCTTTTTCACTTTGTTGTAGAGGCATGGGGCTCGAAAGAGAATTTCCACTGGGAGCTCCTTCACTGCTTGGTCCCTGGTGCTTTGGCAGTGGCTGCACCCTGTTCACAGCCCTCTTCTCAGCAGTTCCTTCTTTTCTGAAACCCCAAGAATGTCCTCTACATCATGGGAGCAGAGACAGGACCATGCTCTCAAAACCCAGCCCACCCTCCTTCTGCCGCAAATGCATTCAGGAACACCAGCACCACCAACTTCCTCACTTGTCTTTCTGAGAGAATTGGAAGTCATTTAATTTTTTCTACGGCTTCGTTCCCAGCTCTGTTTCAGGACCATGGCTCATGGGAAGCTCATGGGACATGGGACTGTCCCAGGGTTTTCCCAACGAGCTGCCCAGCCCTGCTGAAATTACTGAGGTCTGTGGCAGAGTTTCTGCACAAGTCTCCGTGTCGCAGCAGGCATGCAACAGGCCTGGCAGGGCATGCGAGATGGAGTCATCTGTGCCTGTGATAGTCACCCAGCATCGCCGTGCATGGGACTTTCACTGTGGTTTGGCAGGCAAGTGGTGGAAAAAGCCAGCGCTCTGAAAGTCATTCAGGGAGCTGAAGCAAATGGCTCCAGGTCCCTTTTATTTTAAATATCTCAGCAAGAGTCTTTTATAAAAGTATAAAGGCAACATAAATTTCAGGAAAGCAGCTTTTTTTTCTTGTGTGCATTTTTGTCTCTTGCTCTGCCTCACTGTTGTAAATACATGTGCACAGAGAAGAAGAAACAAAAAACAGAGTTTTAAGCTTTAAAATATTCTTGTTAAGTAAAGGTTGTGAATTAGATATTCATAAAAGAACCTACAAAGGGAAAATGAATTCTTATGGCCCCTTCTAGCACTCCATCCGGCCATGCAGGTGAGCAAAGACAGTGCTCAAACATCTCAGACAGCAAAGATAAGAGTACAGTGATAAAGTATTTTTCATCACATGTTGTGGGGAAAGTTTTGTACAATCTGGGACATGCTGCTCAGTGCAGGTTCCTCTTTCAGTTCTCTGAAACTCATTTTAAAAAATTACAAAAAATAATAATAATTCAAAAGCAGCTTCCTCAGTTCAAAACCTCCCAGCACTCCCACACCATCTCTGTAGACGTTACCTCTGAGACATACTTTAAGGTGCGGTGCACATGAAAGTTATTTGCTTACAGACTGATAGCTTTTAGAGCATTCTGTTACATTCCATTATAGAGTACCCTATGCAAAAACATGGTTTGCTATTTAGTTTTGTTTGCCTGTCTTTTTAACATAGAAGAAAACTTTTTTTTTTTTTTTTTTTAGTACTGGTAGAAAGAGGAGACATCTAGCAATTCATCAGTTAAAACCTACCCTTTCTTTTTAAAAGTTATACAATCACAACAGGAAATATTTTGAAATGGTCACAGTAATCACAAGACAGACAACTTTTTAGGCTGAACATGTGTTTATACTAGTGCCCTATTTTTAGGTCATGTCACATGCCAACTCCATGCCATCTCTTTGTATTTTAATTGTAAATGAAATAATAATTTCTGCAGTCCTCAAGAATAATAGGATCATACTTCATTCTTGTCTTGTTCTTGCTTGCTATGCTCAAATTCATAATCTAGCAGACACAGACTCAAAATAGCTATTTTTGATTTAATTAAAGGTGAAGCTTTTCTTTGTCTTGTACTTATAGACTTTTTTTTTTCTTTCTTTAAGAACCTGCAGCAATTTTATTAATTCAAACAGTAGTTGTAAAAGATGCGAAAGTTGGCCTAAGATCACTTCCAAGCTTAAGTGCTGGGATGCAATGGGCTGAGGCCGACACCCACGCTGAGCTTCCTCATTATCACTCATGCAGAAAGCCACGTCAAGAAGGAGATGAAAATGCTGTAGACATCTTCATTTTGGGAAAATGTCTCTTTGGAATAGCAAGAGATAGAGAATTAAGAACTGGAACTCTTCTGAGATTTGATAGATGGACTGTAAATAGCTCCTTGAGAATGCTAACCAAACTGTTTTGAATTCCACTGTTACCTCTTTCACTTGCTAGATGCCTTTTCTTCAAACAAGGCATCAAGCTCTCTTACACTGTAATGTTTGAAAACCTTTCAGTGACTTCTTAAAACAAAGCTGTGAGCTTGATTAATCAAAACTTATGACAGAAATGTCTTGAATCATAGTGAGTTTTTGAGACATTTTTTGAATGCCCAGCTCAAAAAATATTCAAGGGACTGCATTTGTCAAAACTGTGTTCAGATTTATTTATTTTTTCAAAATAATCATTTGCTTGTACCTTAAATTGTGATACACAAATAAGGAGACACCCCAAATCAATTATCAAAATAGAAAATTCTTGCTGTATGAGTAGTGATTGTATTTCACCCAAATTATAATAATACTAGAATATTCTAAAGGGAAAAATATTTGCAAGGTGCAAGGTGCAACTCGGTTGTCTGGTTCTTGTAGTAATTAGTACCTACTATAACAAAAGCTGGGGTCTGACTTTGTACAAAGGATTTCTAATGCCTTTTTTTTCTTTCTTTTTTTTTTTTTTTTTTTTTTTTTGGTACAAGACAAGCTCAAGAAAGCTGCAGTACCCCAAATTTCAGCTGAAAACCAGTTAAAAGACTTTCTTTAGAAACTGGGTGTAAAAAGAGATTGTGGTTAGTTTTGCTCGATCATAAAGAAAGACAGACACAGGAAAGCACCAAGTATCGAGGCACTAATACAGAATGCAAATCCACAGAGAGAGCCTAGCACACCCACCATCTGCACCTCCTATACCCAAGGTTGTAGAAGCACGAGTAGACAGAGGCACCTGCCTGCCCAGGAGTCTCCAAGTCCCCAGTTGAAATGTCCCATACCTAGTCGATTCACAATCAGGCATTTTAGAATAAGATCCAGAAAACCAGGACACCGCGCTGTAAGCAAGCTAGACAACAGGAAACATCTTGGTCCCTGAGAAAGCTGCAGCTTTCAACCCTCTGCTGAGGGTTTCAAGAAGACCTCCAGCTACAGCCATGTATTGCAACTGAAATTTCCCCTGGAGTGAGATGTTTGCATTGGTTTTATTGGAAAAACAACAACAACAAAAACCTTGAAGGATGGAAAACAGAAACAACGGTACTGCCCTTAATCCTCAAATATCACTCAATAGGTATGTGGGAGATATGAATTTATTTCTCTCTTCAGATAAATGAAGTTTGAATCTACACCTCCCACAAGACAGTAAGATCTTCTATTAGTCACTTCATATAAAACATAAAAATTGGATTGAAATAGGAATGATGCTTAGGACACCTTCTCCCTTTAGGTACCGAACAAAATACTATCATTTTTCTTTCTCACCCATTCAAGTTATACCCCAGTTGAAGCATGCAATCTGGTACAAATTCAACCCTAGAAGTAAGCCTGGAAGTTAGGTATGATGCCTTTACTCCCAATCACCATGCTGAGCATTTGTGTTTCGTTCCCTTCTGACAGGCAAGATTGAAGTAAGGCTGTTGCTTGTTGCACAAGCATGCCTGATTTATTCAGTGGTTTAGAGCAGGCTGATGAGACTTCGCTCACAGGGCTGCAGGTTTATAGATCTGCTTGCTCTACTTCTCTTGTTGGGATACTTTTTGTATCTTTCCCTGCAAGCCAATATGGGAGGAGGACAGTATAAAGATCCTATATTTACACTTTACAACATTTGCCTACTGCAACAACTAAGCTTGCCATGGATAAGAGTGGCACTTACTCAGGGGAGGTACCTAGAAAGCTGTTCCCCTAACACTATGCCATAAAAATGAAAGCTGTGCTCATGGAGGTACAATGTGAGGCCTCATTTTTGAGGCCAACCTAAAGGTTTTTTTTTTTTTTTTTTTTTTTTACAGAACGAGACTCACAGGATATAAATGGAGTAGTTTACAAACACCTCCTTCTCAACTATTTCTCGTGACATCCTGTCACGCCTGGTATGACTAATTCATATCAGTGGGTATACAGATGCACCACAGTAGTGGCAGGGTCACAGATGATCAGGTAATTTTTAGTGTTGTGTGATGGTAGGTAGCAAGAAATCTTGATAATTTTGGTGCAATAAGCAAGGTAGGCTTGACAAAATAAAACACTATTAGAAGGATGAATGAGAAGAACATAAGGCTCTTGGTAGGTAAAAGCCTGCCAAAATTCCACTCCTTCCAAACTGTTGTCATCTTTTCAACTCCTTCATGCTTTTCTGATGAGAAGCTAGATGAAAAATTGCATGATTTTCATACTCCTGGATGGCTGGGAAGATGTATAGATCAACTTATTCATAGGAAAAAAAAAAAAAGGCAAGAGTATCTAGCAGCTTGTATATTAAGAGTTAAGAGGAAGGGAGGAGAAATAAGGAAGTAGTGGTTGAAACAATCTGCTCTTAAGCATACAAAAACTGTGAAAGAACTTGATAACATTTTAAACAGTATATAAACAACACAGAAGAGCATCAAAGTAGGTCTTCTTTTATTTATTTATTTATTTATTTTTCTAGGAGTGGGGGCATTAAGAAGGAGTGGAAAGTCTAATGGCAACCTTGGGAATGGAAACTCTGCAGTTAGCCAAAGAACAAGCACAAGTTTCTCACCCAGCCAGCTTGAAAACTAAAGGCACCATTTGTAATTGTGAGAAGAGGCTGGTTTCCAAAGCCTTCCATTGTAGGGTAGCACCACTTTTTTGTACTCAGATATTTAATTTGAGATGGGTTAGATGAAAGGTATATGGAAGAAAACAAATATAGTGAAGTATTTCACCTTGAAACTTACTACAAAAGGCAGCTGAACTATCAACATGGAAGAGGGAAATGCAAACTTCTTTCAAAGGACATTTTCATAATATAATATTTTGATCTAACAATGCTATGCTGATTTCTTTAAAATTATGCTATATTTGGCTTTCTCTCCACTGGGGAAATACTCTTGTAATTTCTCATCATTGTCAGCAGGGATTCAGCAGCGGTGTAGTTTTTGTAGTACTGAGCTAGAAAAAACTTTTTCTGATACCAAAGTCACTGTGTCAATAAGATGAGCATTCAGAAAAGTGTCATTGTCTGTATATATGGCATTGCCAAAATCTACAGCAATGTGTTGCCTCTGTGTGAGGGGTTGTAGAAGAGGACTGAGATTAGGGACAGTTTAGACCTAATTTATTTCAGAAGCAAAATAAATGGGAATAAAATTAAAGCTTTGAAAATATTTAATCTCAATCTTCAAAGATATTTAATAGTTTAACTGCCGCAAACTTAACTTTCTGCTTCTACACAATCCCACTTAACACTTGTGCATGAAACAATAAGCCAGTGCCTAACAGTTTGTAAGCAATCAGAAGTGATTTTTATTTAACAGCATCGCTGATAGTTGTCTATCTTCACTGCCTTTGATAGCTACAAATCAAGAAAATTCAGCTCAGATCTCAAAAAAAGGAAATAAGCACCCACAAGATAATCTCTACAGCACATTTCTCTTGAGGAGAAGGAGAACATTTAGATCCTAATGTTGACACCAAGAGCATAGACAGAAAGTATTTCAGGGGAGGCTCTGATGCTCATGTTCTTCCCAGAAGAAAGAAAAAGGTCACAACAGCACCGGGCTGCCGATACGGGAGGTGAGGTCCAGGGCTTTGTGGACCATCATGGACCAAAACGGAGCAGGCACATCAAGACACTGGGCCATGCAATACCTCGTATGAGCCGATGAATAAACGTAGTTCAGAGGAACAGTGTAGGCTGCTCATGCCTGAAAGCGAAAGACTCTGCTGTTTTCAGTACACCTTCTTAACCGGTTGAATGAGGTTTGTGGATAGGCATGTGGCCTCATTTTTAGGGGAAGGATGTGATGTGGGAGAATCCAGAAGGGTAGATTCCCTTCTTCAGTGTGTTAGGTGTGGGTCCTGGGTGACTGTCTGCCAGCCCAGGCATCAAACACTTTTACTTCTTCACATTATCAATAACTTAGAAGCAAGAAAATAAATGGCAAGCAAACAGCTACTTGGGCCAGCTGCTGTTCACTTGTGTTTGAAAAGAGGCTTTGAGCTATGTTCACAAGTCTATTTTCTATCTCACCTTTAGTAAATGTGAGCATGTTGGTTAATTCCAGGCAAAGTTGATGAAGTGTATAGGTCTCAAGATTAACTAAGTTTCTGTGCATTGCATTAAAATATCTTGCCGATTGGATGAAAGTCTGTGATTCAGACATTTACATTTCCACAAAAAGTGGCTCTTTTGACTGGTTTCTGCAATTGTATAGGCTTCCTGCATGTCATGGCTGTAATAGCTCAGGTGGAGAAGGTTGTAGACATCTTAGCTATGTAGTAATCAACCATAAATCACAGAATTGTGTGAAGAAAATAGACTACCATTTTCTTCTGCTCACAGAACCACCACAGCACTTGTTGGACACAGGACTTGCCCCTTTGGGGCATTTGTCACTGGGACTCAAATGCTAACTGCTCAAAAATCTTCTCAACATCCCTTTTGCGGCCTGGGATTAAGAAATAGAAGCATAGTTTGGAATAAATGGCAGAGCATTTCATATGATTACAAAAAACGTCCTGGAAATCCTTTGCTAGATCCCACTTGACTCAACACATGACAGACCCAATGTATGAAGTATGAAGTATGAATGGGCCAAGACCCTTTGAATTTCTGTCCAGTTCTTTATGAACAAAACCCTTAATTATAGCTGTTTTTTTTTTTTTTTTTTTTTTTTTTTTTTTAGGTACACTGCAAATGTATAAACTGATGATAGACAGAAGGTAAGCCCTTTTTACTTTGCTGAGGCAGGGGAAGGCAGAGGAGTGTTTGCAGTTCCTGCAGACTAGCAGGTTAATCTGAACTGTGAAATTGGTGGCAATGGAAAGAAGCTGCAACACTACCTTTTTGACTTCAAACACAAGGAAGTCAAATCCCCAGGTGTTCCAGTGTTCTTTAGAACACAGTAAAAATGTTTCTACCAGCTATTTTTCCTCCTATACTTGTGATTTTATTAGTCCCAGAGCCAAGTTAGAGCAACCAGAAGCACAGGCACAACCGAAGGAGCCAATATTTCTGTAGTCCAGTTTTTTCTCTGCTCTCCTCCAGCTTTCTAACACAGAAATACTCTTTCCACCTCATGACATTTCACCTACAACAAAGGGATACCTGAGCGCTGCTGTGAGACACTGCAAAGTGTTTTTTTTTTTTTTTTTTTTTTTTTTTTTTGTTTTTTTTTTTTTTTGCAGTACTGCAGCAGAAAAAAAATTAGATGTGCAGAGGATCCACCCCACTCAGTACTCAGCGTATACATTCTCATTGTCTGGGTAAATCAACCATCTACACTATTGATATCCAGATCAGTTATGATCTACGACTCTCTGATCTCTTCCTTTTCTCATGCAGGGGTACATGTAGTCATGCAAGAGAGCCCACAGACATTGGTGGGAACAGATAAGTGAGTCAAACAAACATATCAGCCTGCTATATGCCCCACTCACTGTAAGCAAAGAGAAGGTTCAAGACCAGCTGATGAAACTAAACAAGTACAAGTCTATGGGGCCCAATGTCCTGAAGGAATTTTCTGATGAAGTTGCCAAGCCTCTCTCCATCATATTTGAAAAGTCCTGGCAGTCAGACAAAGTCCCTGGTGACTGGAAAAAGGGAAACATCATTCCCATTTTTAAAAAGGGTAGAAAGGAGGACCTGGGGAACAACAGACTGGTTAGTCTCACTTCTGTGCTTGGGAAGATCATGGAGAAGATCCTCCTGGAAGCAATGTCAATGCACATGCAAGACAAAGAGATGATCTGAGACAGCCAGAATGGCTTCACCAAGGGCAAATTGTGCCCAACCAATCTGGTGGCCTTCTGTGATGGAGTGACTGCAACACTTGACATCGGAAGACTGACCAATGTCATCTACCTGGACTTCTGCAAGGCCTTTGATACAGTCCCACATGACATCCTTTTCTCCAAATTGGAGAGAGATGGATTTGATGGGTGGACCATTCAATGGATAAGGAATTGGCTTGAAGGTCGCACCCAGAGCACACCCAGAGAGTGGTGGTCAATGGCCCTGTGTCCAAGTGGAGGCTGCTGACAAGTGGTGTTCCTCAGCAGTCTGTCCTGGGACAAGTACAGTTTAATATCTTTACCAATTATATAGACAGTAGGATCAAGTGCACCCTCAGCAAGTTTGCAGATACCAAGCTGAGGGGTACAGTTGATACAACAGAAGGAAGTGATGCCATCCAAAGGGACATGGACAAGCTTAAGATTTGGGCCTATGTGAACCTCATGAGGTTCAACAAGTCAAAGTGCAAGGTGCTGCACCTGCGTCAGGGCAATCCCGGACATGAGCACAGACTGGGAGAAGAACATATTGAGAGCAGCCCTGCAGAGAAGGACTTGGGGGTTCTGGTGGATGAAAAGCTTGACAGGATCTGCCAGTGCACACTTGCAGCTCAGAAGGCCAACCGCATCCTGGGCTGCACTAAAAGGAACGGCCAGCAGAGCGAGGGAGGTGACTGTGCCCCTCTGCTCTCACCTTCTGAGGCCCCACTTGGAATTCTGCATCCAGATCTGGGGCCCCCAGCACAAAACGGATGTGGGGCTGTTAGAACAGATCCAGAAGGGGACCACAAAGATGATCAGAGGGGTTGGAGCACCTCTGCTATGAAGAAAGGCTGAGAGAGCTGGGGCTGTTCAGCCTACAGAAGGGAAGGCTCTGGGGTGACCTCACGGCAACCTTTCAGTACTTAAAGGGGAATTATAAAAAAAAAAAGGAGAGCAACTCTTTGCTCAATCAGATAATGACAGGATAAGGAGGACTTTTAACTAAACTTTTAACTAAAAGAAGGGAGATTTATATTAGAGGTTAGAAGGAAATTCCTCAGTCAGAGGGTGGTGAGGCACTGGAACAGGTTGCCCAGAGAAGCTGTGGATGCCCCATCCCTGGAGGTGTTCAAGACCAGGTTAGATGAGGCCCTGGGCCACCTGATCTAGTGAGTGACATCCCTGCCCATGGCAGGGGAGTTGGAACTATATGGTGTTTGAGGTCCCTTCCAACCCAAGCTAGTCTATGATTCTGTGCTTCTATAACATGTAAAACTGCATATTGTCCTGTTGGCTTATCTAAGACATACTGTTGATGGAAAAAAAAATGATTAAAAAAGCTGAAAAAAACCTTTCAGACATTAAAACTATTTAAAATCTCAAACTTTTAACATAGACTGAACCTGAAATGTCTCAGTGATGAGTTTGTGAGGCTATTTTATCCACCGAGACCATATTTTAAGGTAATGTATCGATACAGCAGAGAGTTGCTGAGAACAGACACTTAACAGGAAACTTCATTCTTCTTCCTCTTAAAGGCGTTAACAATATCTTTATAACCTGCAGGAGAAACTTATGACTGAAAAGGCAGATCTTATGAAAGAGAAGGTTCCATAAATGTTGTTTGATAAGTATGTAAAGATTTAGGTCATGATTTAGGTTCATAAAGAGACATTGTATGCAGTGTGTAAAGCAGAGTTTAGTTCAACTGAAGGGCTTGATCTTGCTCCTATTTAATGCTATCTCATACATAGCAACCAACTTGTGCTAGCTGCACTCATGAAAAAGTTTCAAATTTTTTGACTAACAATGTATTTCTAATGACCATAACAGCACTGATCATCACACTGATTATTTAAGTACTGAATAATCGAGGATGTCATCTTTGCAGTGACCTAAGATTGAGGACATGGGACGTTGTCCCTTATGAAAATGTCTTTTCTTTCCCTTCCTTGTCAAAATACTCATAATGATCATATAGCTTAGGCAGGTTATTGCTCTAACAGCAAATAAACTGCTGAAGAACCTGGGAGTCAGAATTTCATTGGCAGATTCCCCTGGTTGCTTTGTAGCTTAGTGATCCTGTTAGTGAAAAGCTGGAAGTTGATAAACTGAAGAGAACCAATCAGCCCAGCTGCCAAGAAACTTTACAAGTCAGGTGGATGGAAAACAGGCAAGTTTAAGCCTGCCCATTTACAACAGATTTGTGTTGGAACCAGTGCCCTCCCAGCAATTCTCCAAAGGCAGAATACCCCACCAGAAAGCTGGGGTATTCTGCCTTTGACTTTGTTCTCCTCATTGTTTGAAGAATGACACTATATCCTATGGACAGTGCACTGTTCAACCCCTTGTTGAATGGCAAGCAAATAATTTATTTGTCAGCATTTCTGTGCCATGCAATGTTGAAGCAAAGTGCTCCAAGAAGACCTGCAAATTTCTTCTTTGAAGCCTTTCTCTAATTGGAAAATTATTTAACCGTTTTGCAAACAGGAAAGTAGGCAATGGAGAACATGAGGCAACCTAGGTTGCCTAAGATCTGACTACCTGTGTTCTCAGAGCGCCTGATGTTACATAAAATTGTATTGTTTCAAAGCCATGTTTCTGTTGACTACATCTAGATCTATAAGTGCTCAATACTTCTGCAAGAAAGACCCAGGTGTCTATGAATGCATGTTTAAAAATGAGGAACTTGGAACTGGTGGCCCTTTCTGAAAGTTTAACCCTTTGAAACCAGATTTGAAAAAAAAAATCATGATCTTTGAGATGAGAATCGCAAAGATTAAGGCACCAATGAAGAGTTAGGTGTCTCAAAATGAGATCTGAAATAGTCAGCAAAACAATGAGGAACAACATGAAATTAGCACTCATCTAGGGTAGACTATGGAGGACCCTTGGAAATGTGAAAACTTGGAAAAAAAATCTTAGTGAGTTTCCCAGAATGCTCTCTCTCTTCTTCAGGACGACTACCGGGACACCTAAAGCCTTTGGTTGGCTTGTGAAGTCTTCTTTTATAAATGTTCCCTGTTTCCTTTTCTTTCTGAGGACTAAATATGATTTGCTATAGTCTTTTAAGATGATCGATAGAAGAAAAACACATCCCTTCCCTTTCTAAATGACAGACTAGTGGTTATAGTCAGGAAATAGAGCCTCCCAAGTCTGACCATGGAAATTATTATCTGATCAAGAGATTTTTTTAACCACGAAATGGCTGGGTACTACCCGTATTTCATATCAAAGATATGCAATAAAGAAATTATTGACATGGTAGCTTAGGAAAAAATGCACAACATGCACAACAGCAAAAGATTCCCTAGCCTAGCCTAGCCTAAACACAGGGGCAGTCATCCGTAAGGGAGCAGACATAGCCTGATCTTTACACTTTGGATTGGCCTTTGGGGTTATCCAATGACTACTGAAAGTGAAATAGTGTCTCTGAAGACAAGACTAGAGAACAAATATTTTGCCTTCTAGATGATCTGTATTTCAGATATCTGCTCCTCTTTTGTCCAATGACCATTGCTTCATCTTCCATCAAAGTTGCAGCTTCAACAAGTTGGGTGCAAATCAGACCTGAGTGTGGTAGTTAGCATACTTTCAAGGAAGGAAGTGGTTAAGACTTTGAATACTTTCCAAAGAGAGCACCAAATGTGCGTGATCTTTCTCCTAGGGGAGTGCTCTAGAAGAGGAGTTACACGTGCTTGAAAAGAAAACACTTGTATTTTTAAGGAAATCCAATCTTACTGATGTACCTTAAGCATGCTCTTTACTGGCATGAGGCCAACTCTCTCAGTCCTGTCAAAACCCAATTGCTCCATAATTGCAAATAGATATCTGCTTTATACTTGTCTTTAAGTACCTTAAGTACTGCTACTTTATGTTAGGAGAAGCAGCTCTTAGGGGATTATAGTCAGTGGCTGTCTGAGAATTGTCCCCAGCTGGGGCTGAAGCTCTGAAGTTCCACCTCAGATACATTTCAGACATTTTTCTGCACCTATTTCTTATGGAGATGCTCATTTCTCAGCACCACAAAAGACTCTCAGGCAGAATCTGATCTCCCAAGACATAATTCAAGCACCAAAATCACAAGATTACTCCATCTTCTCCTGTAGTTCACTCTCTCAGTCAGCATGTACCCTCCAGAGCATATCAGGACTTTTTCAGGCAATATTATCCCTCTGAATGAGCAGATGGTTGATTTTTTTTTTGTCAAAAAATTCTTCTGTAGTATCTACACTTAGATGATTGAAGTCTGTACCATCTTCCACATGCATAACGGAGCTGTTACAGCACTAAGGCTAAGTCAATATTAGTAAATTAAACACTGTCAGAGCCTGGGTTCAGGCCATGAAATTCACTTCCTTCTGTGGTTACAATGCTGGCACAGCTTTGATTCACACCAGGTAATGCTCTCTCAAGCAACTTGTGCAACTTAGAAGTTATCACAGAACAAAGACCATTCCTGAAAATGAGTTTGGATGTAGCCATCCTGTTTCAGGGAACAGTTGTTGTTACAGACGTGTCAGATCAGCTGAGGACCAGAGTAGGACTGGTCTCAGCACATGGATGCAGGGCAGAATTAATAACTGTACCAGGTGAAAACGCCTTTTCTGGCTAGACCACTAGAGGGTGTGCGCAAACATGCTTTGCCTTAAGGTTTTATTTTTAGGTTACAGAGGCATGGATATTCCAGGTTTTTCTCTAGCGTCTTTGAGGAAACAAGCTGGCAGGATCAGGTTTTGCTGTCCTCTACAACCCACTTACATAATCTGTAATATGCAACCCAAAGTCCATCTTTCCACCCATTAGCTGCCATCCAGAAATGTCTCTCTGTTCTCCTCTACATGGACTGGACTGCCAGTTCTCCTCCTATTTTTATTTTTTTTTATTACTATTCGCCCCCCCCCCTCCCCCACCCACCAGCACTTCTGTTCTTGCTTGTCCGCAGTTTCCTATCTCGCCCTCCCCCCTCACTCCAGGAGGATTTCCCGTTGCTTCCACACTGACTGACTGTCACAAGGAGAAATAATAAAAGCACGAAAGGCTTCTCCAGGCCTTCAGCTGCTGAACCACTGTAGCACAGAAATGGAGTCTACTCAGTGTGCCTTCAATCCTGGTATAACAGAACTTCAGCTGAGCACAATTTAGACAATCTCAACAACTATATCTTTTCAAACTTGTGGTTAAACAAACAAACAAATAAACCTACCACCACCACCACCAAAACCAACCAACCAAACAAACAAGCAAAAAAAAAAACACGACAAAAAAACAACAACAGTCTTTACAAGAGGATTCCTTTCTTCATGCTTATTAACCTAACAGCAGAGACTTGTGTTCCTGAATATTCCCTTATTGCCTCAGAAATTGCCTCACATATCTAAACTCAGCATGTAACATCCTGCCAAAGAAAATGCAACACGCTTCATCTCAAATGTTGATCAGACTTACAGGCAGCTCCCTAAGGAATTTGTCTAGCCATGGTCACCGCTGAAGTTTCCGTGCTGTAGCAGATCAGATTTCCTCTGGGCGTAAAAGCTGCAGAAAGGACCAAAGAAAAATCTTTTAAGAGTCAGATGCTTCTAAAAAAAAAAAAATATATATATATATATTTACAAAGAGCACATCTAAAGATGCTGAACAGTGACAAGTACTGATAATGCTGCCTTTCTTAGTTTTAAAATGCAGTTCGCTAGCTGCGAAACATACCTGTGCTAGATTGGTAAAGATGTACAATATCCACATCTGAAGAAGAAAAGAAGATAAAAGAGCACATATTTTTGATGACTTTATATTTTCTTTTCTTATTGAATCAGGAGCAGCATGAATAAGGTGCAGGTAGTAAGTAACCCTAGCTGCTTCATCATGACAATACCAGTGCATAGTATCTCTTATTATTTCAAGACCTAATGAGGAATTGGGAGACCAAGGGCCTGAGCATAAATTTTTTTTCAATTTACCAGCTGTTGAATAGAAATTCCTCATGCAGTCGTGTAAAAACATGACAAAAACATACTGCTTTTGATGAACAAGCTCATAGATGCATTGCACCAGCTTGGAGAAGGCTTGGGTTTTCCCCAGTCCGTGAGCAAAAATGCAGAATCTCTCTTTTAGGATATCAATAATGGTTAATATTCATTAAATATATATACACATATATATATTGTTACATGAAGAGTGCACAGGATATCTCTCTCACTTTCTTTTTAGTTAAATATTCTGCATCACTGAAAAATAAAACTGCCAACGGAAACTTTCAGTAAGGGTTGAAGGTTTCTTATGAAAATTGTGTGAGAAGAGACCAGATCAAATTGACAACACCAGATTCCAAGGATGAAGAAAATTAACCCTGTGGGATATTTCTCTTTGATTAACAACATAATGTAGACAAGAAAAAAAAATAGTACCCATTTTAAACCTATTTTAAAAAAAAAAACAACCCTAATGGTCGGGTCAGAAGTTCCTCTCAGGTCTCCTGTGTATAGATAGTAAACCCAAGAGGAACACCAACTTGACTTTCTAGTTCCAATCAGAATGCGAGATGCTGGCAGTAAGAGAAAAAAAAAAGGCCAAAGCAGAGTCCCAATAACATTTACTTATAACATGAGCTCATTTTTTCCATACATTTTTGAGGCACAAATCAAGGCCCTCTTATTTCTATAAAATCGTTTTTCAGAGAACTCAGTTTTAAATCTCATCATGTACACTATGAAAAACATAAGAATGGCATCAGAAAAATATGTCAGGTGTCAAAAAGGTCTTTCTGCCCATTTGGAGTCTTTGCAAACAGTTGTTGTCAATGGTGAGGCATTCTGGACTTCTGCTTTAAAACAGCTTTCAAGGTGGAAACTATGCAAATATGTAGTGGAATTATTAGGCTGCAGTAGGCATGCAAATCACCACTACATCACTTAAACGCACTGAGAAACAGTCCTGGTGTCTCTGTGCTTTCAAGCAGGACAGAGGGAGCCCACCACACAGTAACTTCTTAAGGCTGGGTTGTGGGATGCTGGTTTCTCCCCTCTAGCCACTCAGCTAGAAGGCAGCCGGGAGAGACCACACTTACCATACAATGAATGGGTTTTCTAGGTTTTGTTTCTTTTCCATCCTGATATGCTGCTACATACAAGGTATGCCTCCTTCTGACAGAGAGCAGAGGAGTACAGCCTTTTTCCACACCAAACAAAGATGCTGAAGCTGGAGAGAATGCTGAGAACAAAGATTTTAAACCACCTAAGCCAACACCCTATTTTCTACACTTACAGTCATCAGAGAGAGCCAATTTGTCTGCCCGGGCAGATGCATCAGGGATGAAACCAAATTCACCCTGAAAGACAGAAGGTGAAAAAAACATTTTCAATAAACACGCCTGAAGGGATGCTGAAAACTGCAGGCAGAAGCAGTGGGTAAACTGCTGCTGGTGATAGGGAAGTCCTGGGTTCAGTTTGTTCTCCCCCCACAAAGCTGATGTGTACTTTCACTTGAGCTATGCCTGGGCAATAAGTGGGAAATGCAACTGCAGGATGGGTTGCCATACCTCAGCCAGCTTTCATCTAGCAAGCCGCAACATTAATAGCAATACCCTTCAGCATAGATGACAAGTATTTACCAGCTAAGGTCAAACACAACTCTAAGGAACAGTAAAATGCTTAGCATCAATACTCAAACTGATCAGACTAAGGTTGATGCAAATGTTTTTCCCCATGCTGTAGCCTCTTCCCCAGCAGCATGCTGACATGCTCCCTGGCTGTGTCCATAATGGAAGAGCTGGGGCTCTTGATTGGATCACCTGCACTAGGGAGCTGAGAAACCCTGGGCACAAGTCTGGTGTCAGCTGGATTTGGGTTCATCTGGGTTCAGTGACAAATCTCTGCTTCATAGGGTATTTGAAGGGTGAATTTCATTACAGAAGTCCAAGCACTACCATCTCACAAGTAGGGTGCCAGTGATTTAGGAATGAAGTCCAAAAATTAATGGGACTTATATTTCCGAATAAAACAAATGCCTTGAAAACTTTAACTGGATTCTCCCTACTACTATGCATAAAATCCAGAAACCATTTATACCAAACACAAGGCACAATTGCAGAGCTAATCTCCAAACATTAAAACTGATTACAAGCAAAAAGAATTAAAAAAAAAAAAAAAAAAAGCTAAAAAAATGAATCTCCAGTATATGACTTCACCCAGGGATCCTCATAGCATGTACAAGCTCACTTTCTGCAGGGTGACCTGGTGACAGCCCGTTATTACAATAACTGCCATGTGGAAGGCTATTTTATGTTTGTGTCTGAACTATTAAAAATAAAAAAATAATAATAAAAAAAAAAACGTTCACACAAATATTCTCTCTCCCTGTCTATTAAGAGACAACAAATGCAGTATGCAAGAGTGCACTCTGCTGTGAGACTTCCTTCTGGTGCCGCTCTGTCTGAGCTCAGTTTTTATGCATCAAAAGACCCTGATGAAATTATATCTTTTTATGATACGCTTCCACCCTCACTTCTGTGCATACGTTCAGTTGCTGCAAACCTCAGGAACAGTCTCAGGATGACTATAGTACATGACTCTGCAGTAGCTGAAGATAAGTATCAGGTCCAGTTTTATGAATAAAACTGGTCCAAAATTATCTAGTTTTGTTTTTCTTACAGCATGTAGCAGCTCTCTCTTCCTCCTTTTAAAAAGACCTTTGAAGACACGCTACGATTATCACTGCCCTCTGTACTAAAGCAAACTGTACACCTGAGAATCCTTATTTTGATCATGGTTTGCAAAGTGAACTCCTTAAACTGGCGGTAAGAGTCTTCTTTCTCTTCTACTGCAGTATTTGCTGTGATTATTCTGACCTCTGACTAGTAGTAACATACCTTCTTTGTTATTTCTGCTCTGTTACTATCCCATACGTTTCTTACTTTATTTCTAATGCCCACAGTCATCTGGGACAAAGACGCACATGCAGTTCTTGGATTCAATGAACTTTGTTCTCCCTTCAGATGTAAATAATAGGAGGGTGAACAAATCAGTCCTAGCTGAGACTGACTCCACTAAAAAGCAGTTTTGAAGAAAAAAAACAACAATCAAGAAGTGAAAAGCTGCAGTCCTTACCTGATCTGGGATGTACAGTGCACCTTGAAAGCCTCTTAAATGACAGAGAAGAATTAGAAATAGTTGAAAGTTTGCATTCATCCAACCACAGGGCTCAGGAAATGACCGTGTATTTTGCAACGATTAACTCCTTCCTCACTAATGTCTTCACTTTTTCAAGTACAATAGAAAAAAAAGTCATCTTATCCTTCCACTGCAGTTTGGTAACTAATGCCATACTTTACACACAATTTCTGTTTCACACTGAGAACATGCAGGTGGCCAGAGAAGATGACTCTGATCTCCTCCATAGAAGAGAGAATTTGCAGCATCTTCTGCATAACTGTGACAAAGTACATTTTACTGTTGTGTGAAGCTTATGTGACGAAACATAGAAATGACTAAGTAATGGCTTGAACAGCTAATTCTCAGTTTTAGAAGATGCTTAGAGCAGTATTCTCAACATGACTTGGGATGTGTCTCCCAGCAGAGCAAGAAAAAAAAAAGTTATTTAGAAAGCAGCATCCATTATAGTCTGGACAGGCATTTGGTGTGTGTGTGGTCTGAAATACTTCTTTGCACATAGAGTCTTTAGGTGAAAACTGGGAATGCTGGAACATCAGGAGTTAGGTCCCATGCACGTAAAAACCTTCTGCCCCTAAAAGACTGTTCCTTTGCTGGATGTACTCATTCAACTGAGGCATTTGTGAGCCTGACCATCCCACGAAACCATTGGCCTGGAAGTTGTGAAGGTCAATCCCACCAGGTGCACAGCTGCCTTTGGGGAACTGGCACTTCCATGCTGAACCCATGGTGGCATTGGGGCTCTCTGCATGCAGGCACAGGGGTGATCAGCACCCCAGAATGAATTCCTCCCATCCAAAAGCAGCAGTCTGAGAAAGAAAACGTTTCAAAGTCTGGATGGCAACGCTGAACACAGACCTGGGTTTTGTACCCTTCTCCTTTTCTTATAATTTCGAAAACAAGTCCTGGACATGCACACGTGTATGTGACTTACACAGCTCTGAAGTCTTCTCGCCTAGGCACGTGTGTGTTTTATTTTAAAAACCTTATGGGGGGAGGGAAACGTCACTCCTGCACTTGGGATGTTGGTAGAGGAAGAGAGAATAGAAATGTCCCCAGCATGCCCTTTTGTATGATGTTTTCATAGCTACAGAGCCCAGCTAGGTTGGTTTGGGTTTTGGCTTGTCTTTGACACAAACTAAATCTGTGTTTTGTGCAGCCCACAAAACAATGCCTGAACCTGCAAACTGCATCTTTTCATGGAGTAGGAGGTGTAGGGGAGGGACAAGTCTCTTTCCCCCTCCTGAATGGGATGCTCACAACTCCTTTGGGACACTAGAAAGGGAGGGGAAACAAAGAGGGAAGACAGGTTGCTGAGGATGAGGCTCAGGTTTGGGTGCTGCTCCAAGGACAAAGAGTTCCCTTCCTAAAACGTGTCAAAAGTTCACAAAATCTACAGAAGTGGGTCTAGTCCGAGCTTCTCAGCAAGGCTGAACACACAAAACAAGATTTGAAGTGTCAGTGAGACTGTGCTGCTTTGGGAATTTTCCATGCGAGATGCACTGTATGAACTACATCTATCAATGACTTCAGTAACAAGGATCAGCACTCAGCATTGTCCAGCTCTTGGTGGATGGTGGTTTTCATTAAATGTGTTTCTACTTAGATTATTAATACTTGCAAGATACTGTCACTCGGATCTTGGATTCCTCTTTGCAGAGTAGTTGGGCTTCAGCAAAAACGCTGGAAAAGGTATACATCCCAGCTGTGTGCTTAGGGAATTATCCCCAAATGTGGGAGCAGCGATCCAGAAAATGTTCAGACTTCAGTATCTTCCACTCTCCCCACCAGTACTGTGGGTGACTGTGGCTGAGAACACTTTCCCCAGCATTGCTCACAGCTCCTGTGTCTGGTGCTGAGAGCAGTGCTGCATTCACGTTGGACAGGGTTTAGGTTCCTCCAAGCAGGCAACCACCGTGGGCGCTTCCTCCCTCCCACAGAAAGCAGCAGAGGTTGGTACTTCAGCCTGCAGCCTGAAAAGCCTCTGAGCTTGTGGAGAGACCTGTGTTTGGGTTATCTGAGGCAGGGCTAGGATTGTCTCACCTGGCCCTGGACGCTTGCACTCCGGATGTCTGCACTAGAGCTAGTCGTTCAAGGCACCTTGAATATAGGCAATGGAGAGAAACAGACATTTATAAGGTTCATTCTCTGAGAGTTTTAACAGCCAGCAAGAATTCCTTTTGCAATATGTATACATTTGTATATATATTAATGAATTCAACATTTTATAAAACTAAACAAATAAAATCCTTCAGAGACATTATGTCCAGTAACAATGACTCACGGTGAATGCTCTGGCAAGGCACCAAGGACTGTGATCTGCCCTAGATGTTAATCCTTTCACACTCAGAACTAACAGGGTTACTCATGATTTTCATTGTAAATGAGTGTTTGGTTTCCTTTTTGGAAAAAAAAAAAAAAAAAAAAAAAAAAAAAGTAATTAAAAAGGACAAAACATTCAGGTGATTCCTCAAGCTAGGGCTAGTTATTATATTGCTTGACATGCAGAAGCATCCATGAGTTTTACATAAAACACAGTTACAGGACAGAGACTCAAGTTCTTCTTGCCTTGACTCTTCTCACTTTCACATACAAAAACTGAATCAACTGTCAGTCTGTGTCAGCTGCCAGACTCGCTTCTCACCATGGGCCTACAGGTAAACAGGAAGGAGTTTCAGTCTCATAACTTCAAAGCATGCAAAAATATTGAATCAGACATCCTAAAAGCTAATTAAATTTGGTTTGTTTCATAGGCTGCTATTTTTTAATGTCTTCTTTCAGCTCAAACATGGCAGTTTAGAAATAGATCTCCATTGCCACTTTTTGATCCCTAAATCTACAAATATTTCAGATTTTATAACTTTAATTCACTACCTGTGTTAAAGAAGCTTCATCCCCTAAATGAACTTTCTGAAAAAAAAATAATAAATCAGCATTTACTTTTGATAAAAAATACAAAATTTGGTGGTACTGTAGTATTATATGATATAATAGGTATTATTCTTATAATTGTTGTTTCAGGATAATCCATATGATGGGATCCATTTGTCCACTTTCAGATTTCCTGAGAAAGCAATTAAGTGCTAAGAAAGCATTACCCTGAAAACTGATCACGTCTTTCAGAATGATTATGAGTGATGCTGTGGATTTTTATAGGTTGGTTGGTTTCCTCTGGGTGAAGTTATGGCCCTTTGCAAACCCATAGTCAGTTTCTTACTGAGCTCAGTAGGGTCAAGAGTTCATCTTCTGAGTCTTCCCTGGAGCCATCTCAAGCAGTTTATGAATATTTGTGTTCCTTCCTCTGTTGGTATGAATCTGCACTTTAACTACGTTCTCCTGGGAGAATGGGTTGTGATTTTGCTACTGCAAGTCATTTAGGAGTACTCTGGTAATTAAAGATTTTTTTTTTTTTTCTTAAGTGATGTTAGAAAGCTCCTAATTATAGAGCCACTGCAAAGATCTTCCTCTAGCGTGAATCTGTGCCAGCCTTGAGGGTGACCTGAATGTGCCCCTGGCTCCTGGTGCCTATATGAAGTGGAGTGAGGAGTTACACAAGGCACTGAGGACTCTCTGGCCTCAAGACATACTGACAACTTGCACAAAAGCAGAGAAAAAATAAATGGTCTTGGGGAGCTGCACTAAGGCTGAATGTGGTTATTTATTCCCAGAGGAGCAAATGTGCAGTTACAGGCTAATTCTGTACCTGCTTTGGGACATGCCAACGTGCTGACAGACCCGGCCTGGCAGTCAGCATGAACAGAGGAAGGTCTGGCCATTGGAGCATGCGGCATGATGCTAGCTGTGATACAATAAAAGTAGGAGAGGCAAGCTATCATTGCACTCTTCCTAAAGGGTTCCTCATCTTGGCTGTAGGTGAGTTAGGAGGCAGAGAGAGGTTGTGCAGGTGGTACGTGTGCGTGGAGGTCTGCGCAATGTGGGGCTGTGAACAGAGTGCTGGAAGATGGGCAACCATCAGGAAGAAGTCTGTGTGCTGCGAGTGAGGAGATGGGAAGGTGAATCTGTACAGAAAGGAGGAGCAGAGAGGGAAGGGAAGTGAGGGGAGGTGGCAGGAGCAAGGGAAGTTGACAGAACAAGCCCCAGAACCGTGGGAAGGGGACAAGCAGAACAGAGGGGAGGAAAGAGAGACTGCTGATGCCTTTTCTGTATCATAGCAGAAGGGAAAGAAAGCAGAAGATTATTCTGTGAGACTTCTGCTTTGTCGTCCAGCACTAGGAGGTCCGGGCAAGTCTCCAAGACTTAAATACTTTTTTGCATTCTAGGCAGGCAAGACTGACAGACCACAAAATGTCCCATAGCAAGGTAATCTCTTCACAAGGATGGAGGGAAGGTGGGTGACCAGTCAAGAGAAGGAGGAGAGGCCCTCCCCACAGCCATCCTGGTATCTCCACACACCCTAATGCCCACCCACCAGAGCTTGGAACCAGGCTGTAATGCCAGCAGTGACAAGAACAGAATACATTATTCCAGCCCTCATCTTCCAGGTGGAAAATCTCTTTTTTGCCCATGCCATTGAGCTGACTGTGCTATGATGCCCTTACACATCCAGTGAGACTCCAGACCTCAGCTATCCATTTCAGTGCTATCACGCCACAATCTATGGAGCTCTCCAGGTAGAAGACAATTATCCTAACTCTCCAGGAAATAAGCAAACAATCTTGGCCCATTTCGTCTAAACCTAGATTCAGCATCCCAATGTGCTATGTATGTGATCAGGTGTGTGACAGGAGATAAAACCCGCCTAACACTTTTGCCTTGCACAAGGAGATATGACCTGTTTCCTTGTCCAACTGCAAGGCTTTCATAGCGTCAAACTGTTTCAGCTGTTGGTTATTCATTCTCCAAACTGCACGTTCATGCAATTCTGCCCAATAGAAAATGAAGGGAAAAAAACTCAAACCCAAAGTGATTCATTTCAGTGCTTTCAATCTGACATTTTTGTTTCAGCATAGGAAATGTTTGTCATAGAAAATGAGTACTGCCTAATTCAGTAGCAATAGTAGCAGTGTATGGTCTTTGCTTTGCTTGAAAAGGGTGTTGCATTTCTTAGGGGAGGTTTTCAGCTACTGGACTGCAATGTAGTTTGAAGCCATGATCTCTCCAACTACACCTCCTTCATCTCATCCAGAAATATATCTTGCTTTTTACATTGAGGTGAATGTCCTGGCTA